TGTATTTCAATAAAATGAAACATGCAAATTGATATATTCCACACTACTTAAAGGGAACAATCGCTTAGAAATATGTATCAACTACGTATATCTAGTTGATAAACACCTAAACAATACATTCATGAACAAAAGAGATATAAAAAACTCCTATATCCAATACAGATAGAGTTGAGCCAATACAATAAGTACTAAAGACATATCCAAAATACCACACCCATTGTGCTCAGTAGTGAAAGTTGCCAAATTTTTATTTTGATGGTCATTATGACCCATTTTCTCCTTGATCCAGTTGAGATAAAAATAAACATTAGTAAATCCTTGAGGGTAAGCTGTTTTACATCCCTTCGTGGAGAAGGAAACGAGGCCCACGAGATAGCCTTCGTGCATCGCCGGACCCCCCGAGTCGCCCTGGAAAAGGAGGGAGTGGATGAACGAGGTGATGTTCAGTGAGAAAGGGACTGGGGAAGGAGGGAATCGATGGATAGGGAAAGGGAGAAAGGAATGGACAGTTATTTTTATTTAATGAATGTCATATTTAATAAAAAAGACTATTTGCAAATGAAATGGGAGAATGAGAGAGACAGGCGAGGACAGGAGGAAGAGCAATGGCGAGGGAGAAATAGAGAAAGCTAGAGGCAGAGAGAGAGACAGAGAAAGAGAAAGAGTTTATTCCAATGATTCTGCAGACCACGGAAGAGCGACTCACATTACAGGGGCCAACGTCCCAATTCGCCGCAGTTGTGCAGAATATGCTTTTGTCCACCCATCGGAAATAATTCTCGCATTCCTTTAGAGGGATGGTTCGGGTAACTATTTCTTGGAGAGTCGTAAGAGGTTTGGTCACTTCCGACACTGCAATTCAGCCATTGGCAAGAACGGATATTTAGATAGAGGGAAAAAAACTATATGAAATTCAGCTTCTGATGAAAAAAAAAAAAAACAATAAGAAATTAATTGTACAATTAAACAGAAAAAGTGTAGATAAGAAATCTTCATTTTCGTAAAAAAACAAAAACAAAAAAACTTACAGGTTCTTCCCCAACCAGTGACCACCACTTCCATATACTCGTCCACGTTACGAGTCGGCAATTTGATGGGGAAAACTTTATCTGAGAAGGGAAACGAAAGTTTTTTTTTCTTCTTTTCCTTAATGTATATATATATATATATATATATATATATATATAATATATATATATATATATATATATATATATATATATATATACATACACACACACACACACACACACACAATATATATATATATATATATATATATATATATATATATATATATATATATATATATATATATATATATTATATATATACATATACATACATATGCATGCAGGTATGTATGTATATATATATATATGACAGCGTATTTCACTGACTTTTACGAAAACGTGTATAGACAAATGTATAAGTATATAGACATGCACATATGCGCACACACACTCACAAACAAGCATATTTACACCTCTAGCATGGACAGTAAAAAAACATTATAACTTACCATTCATATGTACCTTCTCTTCCAGTTTTAGAAGGGCAATGTCACCCTTTAAGTGACCTTCCTTGGGCTTATAGCGCGGATGAACGAACGTCTTGGCAACGGGAATCGTCTGGGTAAAGTCCTCCTTCACCCTTCGGTCGTGTATGCCCACAGTGACAGTCATTCGCGCATCACTCTTTCTTAAAAAAAGAAAAAGGAAAATGAGAGGAAAGGAAAGGAGAGTAGATGATCATGGCAAAGAAGAAAAAGGAGAAGAAAATGAATATACTGTAACATAGGCAGCAACAGGACTGAACTATGCCAGCATACTGTTGCTGTTATCATTATGTTATTATTACTTTTATCATTAATATCATTCTTATCACTATTGATATTCTTAATACATATTATCTTTACTATGAATATTAGTTACATTATCATAATGATAATGCATTGCCATTAGCATTATTATCGTCAACATCATCACCATCAGTACTCACTTTGGTATACAGTGGGCAGCTGTCAGGACAAACAGTTCGCTGATGACAGCAGCCCCGCAGACTCCTCCTCCTCCTGAGAGAAAAGCCTGGTACCCGCGCTCGTACGGCTCTGCCTCAAAGCCTCCCACGATGCGCGTGCCGTCTGGGGGAAGAGGGGAAATGGCGTGGATTTTGAGTATGGATTATAGTGTGTGTTTGGGTGTTGTGTGTAGTGTTGGGGGGTGTGTGTGTGTAGACAGCATGGCGTGAAAGTGACAGCTGCATTACTGACAATTTCTCATTTCTCAACACAACATGATATTTCAAACCATTGTATTTCGTAATTAGTATTAATGAAACAAATCACGATTTTGACAATAATGACCACAGCAAATATAGCAATCGTTATCATGGCAAATTGTGTGTGTGTGTTTTTGTGTGTATGTGTGTGCCTGTGCTTGTATCTGTGGGTTTGTGCGTATGTATGTATGATTGTGTGTGTTTGCGTATGTACATATGTATGCGTGCGTGCGTGCGTGCGTGTGCATGTGCGTGTGCGTGTGTGTGTGTCTGTGTGTGTGTGCGTGCGTGTGTGCCTGTATGTGTGCATGTACGTATATATGCATGCGTATGTGTGCGCGGAGGCACAGACTTACGAAGAGGAGGTCCTTCGGCAGGGACCTCGACTGGAGGAAGCGGGTTCTGCAAAATGAATTTAAACATATGTTACAAATGATTACACGAAGCATACAACTTGTTCTATAAAGATGTAAATATAATATTCATTTCTCTAATCAAACGCAGTTAGACTCTGTGAGGACGACAGTGGTCACGCTTCTCTCTCGACTTTTAAACGGTATAATTATCTTTATGGATAGCAATTAATAAGAACAAATATCCATTTAGATTTTGTAGAACAGAAAATTGTATTCTTAACTCATAAGAATGAAGCTTACACAGAACAACAAAAGATTATTTCGTCCCTAGATCTTTTCTACAATATATGCCTACTTATTTATTTGTGCATTTTAGAGCATTTTATCATTCTTGTGAAGAGGGGAGTTGTTCACAGTGTTGAGGTCACAGACATAATTGAAGCAGGATATATTATAACTACCATATTAGTCAACTTAGATTTTGTTGAATTGATCTACACAACCATAACACACTGTATAACAAACATCACAACTGATATATAATTAGTCCCTTACAACAGGTTTACGTCATCTCACAATTAATATTCGAATTGTGGAATGGAAGGGAAACGAGGACCGTCTCAATTGCGCGTCATTATCGCAAGCACCATGCATGAACACAATCACTGTACTTTTATTACTCAATTATTGAGCAGAATTACCACCGGGTGTAGAGCGCCTGGCCCAGAAGCAAGAGGGCGAGACAAAAAAAAAAAAAAAAAAAAAAAGAAAACAAGAAGAAAGAATGTCTATAGTCTGTGCGGAACGACATGGCTAACGCTTCTTCTCTCGATTTGAACGGTATGAATTACTTTCATGGATATCAATTAATAAAAACAACTATTTATTTGGATTTGGTAGAACAGAAAAGAAAATGCATTCCAAGCTCATAAGAATGGAGCTTACATAGAACATCAAAAGATGTTTCCGTCCCTAGATCTTTTCTACAATATATGCCTTTCTATTCATTTGCACATTTATGAGCATTTTATAATTGTTTTTAATAGGGGGTTGTTCATTGTGCTGAGGTCACCGACATAATCGCAGTCAACAAATTTTGTAGAATTGATGTACACAACCATAACACACTGTACAACAAACATCACAACTGATATATAATTAGTCCCTTACAACAGGTTTACGGCATCTCACAATTAATATTCGAATTGTGGAATGGAAGGGAAACGAGGACCGTCTCAATTGCCCGTCATTATCGCAAGCACCATGCATGAACACAATCACTGTACTTTTATTACTCAATTATTGAGCAGAATTACCCACCGGGTGTAGAGCGCCTGGCCCAAGAAAGCAAGAGGGCGAGACAAAAAAAAAAAAAAAGAAAAAAAAAGAAAGAAAAAAAAAAAACTACCTTCGGCTTAGTATAACCTTGAAGTAAAGAATCCAAATACGATATATCGCGGTTCTCCATAATAGTCGTATATCAATAATTGATATAGGTACAGTTCCAGAGTTACATTACAAGTGGTTCCAACTTTCGTACATCTGGCAACCTCATCGATGCAAACCTAGCTTAAATATAAATAACCAGTGTTTATCATTATCTATTTCTGGAAAGTATGTAAACCATTTGATCTTTCATTTACCTCAAACGAGTGACAGCAAAACGAGTGGCATTAGTTATCGTTGACTTTGTAGTAGGATGTTTTCCAAATGCGATTTCCTGAAATCCTCTTCATCGAAATGGCAACACCGATGACTGCACATTTCTTGAAATATAAAAGCTAAATATTTCTTTTAAACATCTATGTACAGCAGGCAAATCAAATGAAAATCTACAAAATAGCCGAGTCTTTTGTAAATGCTTTTCGTAATTACACCATCTGTTGGCGGCTGATGTAACTGTAATGGACTGAAAATGTACAATATCTTAATTAGTCTCTCCCTTGGCAGCCTGGCATCCAAATAAAATCACGAAGTGACTAGCGGAACAAAACTCTACGGGAACCGCACGCCCGATTTGATTAAGATGTATCACTACGTAAGGTTGCACGAATGTAGCGCTGAGACGGGCGGACGAAGCCGCGAGTAAAAGATCCCAAAGAGGAACACCTTTCCTTTCAAGAGAAGGCGGAAAGCACCCTTAGACCGCCCCAGGAAGGCGCATGCGTGCCCGTATACGTATCGTCATTTATTTTAATAAATCTTTACTTTTTAGGCAAATAAGAGAATGATAATTTTTTAGTAAACCTCGCCACTCTTCAAAGCACAAAGCACCAGTTTTTAAAAGGGGAAAGAGATGAGAGCATAAACAGTGAAAAAACTTATTTATAGCCGAGTCACGGCTGAAAGTTTTCTTTAATTAGTTTTTTTTTATCAAAAGATATAATTTTTGATTAGTTATTTTTCTTTTTAAAGGTCTTATATTAAAGAAATGCTTATTTTGAAAGCAGCCGTATGACTCTTTTCATTATAAGAATTTATTAAAGAAATTTTAGAATAAACATACACACCCTGCTACCTGTGTTCCTTGGGAGCACAGGTGTAATTAGGTGGTTCTCACCTATTCACGGCAGTTGCTGCAGGTGGAGGCGGGAACACCCTAGACTAGGCTGTCCTCCCTTTTCCTTTGTTTTTCGTGGATTACCCTTTTATTGCTGATTGAGATACTGCAGCACGAAGGTAAAGTGGTCGTGAGAAAGGTTATTTTCAGTGGCAAAGTGTTGCTTTAGATATACATTCGGGCAAAGAACCGAAAGAACTTTTATCGCTCCTTTCTTTTAAGTGATTTCATTTTCAACATGGGAGTGAGCGGATTATATTTTACATACTTTTGGTATTTTTAAAGTTTTTAAATTTTTAAAAGTTCTTTTTAAGGTGACTTGTCCCTGTCCCTTTTAGATTTTGTTTTAGATTTTGCATTGCTTTACGAAGTGTTTTCATTTTATTCTCATTGTTTTATAATAAAATGATTTCTATAATCAGTGATTTTCTTAAACTCTTATCAAGTTTTTAAAAGGTTGATGTACCTGAAGAGATTTCTATAAGTAACTTGCTTGCTGGTTCGTTAACTTACCTGAAAGAAATAATGATTAAGTACTTGCTGGTTCGTTAACTTACCTGAAAGAAATAATGATTAAGTACTTGCTGGTTCATTAACTTACCTGAAAAATAATGATCAAGTGCTTGCTGGTTCATTGACTTACCTGAAAAATAATGATCAAGTGCTTGCTGGTTCATTGACTTACCTGAAAGAGAATTATCTATACAAGATAGCCTTACCCGAAATCCTTCACACGTGGTGAAAATCCCGTGCTCGTCCTCCTCGCTCTGATTACGTTTACCCTTTGCTAACTCATACATTCTACACTAAACACATCGCAACAATTGTACACAGTCTTTCTCTCCTTTCCACAAGCCCTTCACACACTGTCTTCTCCCAAATAACACCCCGTTCCCGTACGTACTAAACGGGGGGGGGGGCATTGAGCGCTACTATTGTACATTTCTGTAATGATGATAATAATAATAATAATAATAATAATAATAAAGAGTTTATTAAGTAAAGTTTTAGTTACAAGGGTAAAATTGTTACTTTACACAGTCAGGCACGGTAATAGAATAAAGTAAAGTTCAATACACTACATAACCAGTTACGTGAGTTTCTTCTTTCCGTCAGAACCAAACATGCTGCATTATTATCTTAATTATAGAATATTAACTGAAAACTCAAAACCGCAGTGACGCTTTGTCGCGAGTATGTGTGTCCAGCGTTTATGGAAATACGAAGTCAATACATGGAGTTCCGATACAATGTGTATGATTCGTTTTGGTTATTATGGATGCCCTTTGTTGTGCTAAGTTGTGATCCTAGTTTTCGCTATTGAGCGAGAGCATACATTTTTGCTTCCTTCATCTCGAGCACCTGTTAGCTGGCTGGCTCCAGGGAGGTCAATATCAAAAGCCTAAGAACCGACTCCCATTACATGTGCTGTATGATATCTGATATCTTTAAAAAAGATCTTGACCATTCTGATGAAAAAGGTATTACATCTCGCTCTCTACTTCCATTTGTTATACGTTCATTTTTCTTCCTTTTACGAATGTGCGACTGTTTACAATATCTGCGTATGTGAAGAAAAAATGGCATACTGGTCATTCCTCAAGATTTTTTTTTTATTTTTATTTTTTATGTATATCTTGATAATCACCTATGGAATAATAAAAGCCAAAAATAAGATCAGATTTTAGCACCAGATAAAGGGCATTCAAAATCCTCCGAACGAATTATGGATACTGTTTCGTAGCTCATCACCGAGCATAAACGTATTTCCATTAACGGTAAATGCGCACATACAACGATAAAGCATTTGTATATTCACTGTTGTCCTACTCGTGTTTCCTATGTAATGAGATAGTGAATAATAATTAGCAAAAACTGCACCATCACTTCGATTAGCCTCTATTAAATGGTGCTGATACGAGAAGCATTTACAAAGTTCTTAGTGATTTTGCAGATTTTTACTGGATTTAGCTAACATACATAGATGTTTAAAGTATAGAGCGTCTTCATATTAAAAGAAATATGCAGTTATAGTTTATACTTGCTGTGTTGATAGAACGAAGAATGCCTCACTCTCCATAGATGTTGCCATTTCGGAAAAAAAAAAAAAATAATAATAATCATAATAATGATAATGATTTAGAAAATAGCCGTCGATAAATGCTTCCCTACAAAGTCAACGGTAACTAACGCTACATGATTTGTTATTACTTGTTTGAAGGAAAAGAAATATCGAATTGCTTACGTAGATTCAAAAAATAGATAACAATACAATTATTGGTTATTTGTATTCTACCAAACACACTTTTGTTAATAGCAACCTAGGGTTTTCGCTTTTTTTTTATATAAAGTTATATAAGCTATGTGTACATAAAAATGACTGCCAGATATAAGAAAGACGGACCCATCAAATATACCAAAATCTACGAAAAGAACTGTAGCTTCATGAGAGTGTGCCAAAGTGGATAGACAAGCCGATAGCCTTGTTCAGTGTTCACGGTGAACTC